CTTTCTTTCTTTCTTTCTTTCTTTCTTTCTTTTGTTTTGTTTTGTTTTTTTGAGTCAGGGTTTCCCTGTGTAACAGCCCTGGCTATCCTGGAACTATCTCTTATAGACCAGGTTGGCCTCTAACTCACAGAGATCCACCTGCCTCTAGCTTCCAAGTGCTGGGATTAAAGGCGTGCGCCACCACTGCCTGGCCCTGGTCATTTCTTTAAGCACCATGTTATGAATAGACTCCTTCCTTCAAACCCAGGACTTCCTCCAGACCCTTCCAATTTAGGGCTGGGAGAAGCCAGGGCTGGCTCAGCCAGAAAGTCAGGCCCCGTGTGGTAAATCAGGGAGTAAAGGTCACTCTAGCGCTGGGGATGAGAGAGTGGCCAGGACAGAACTCTAGTTGGTGGAATAAGACTCAGTTCTCCCCTGAAGTCTGTGTCCTGCTCTCTCTCTCTGTACAATGCTGCCCACATTCCCCAGGACACTTTGTAAAAGAAAAAACCCATTGTTGTAGGCAGACATTGCAGTAAGCACCTATAACAGCACCCTAGGAAGGAAGCAGAGGTGAGAGAGGATCACCAGAAATTCAAGGCTAGTCAGTACTACACAGATGTATCAGAAATTAAAACACAGTGGCTAGTGATCCGGTGAGGCAAGTGCAGGTGTGCGCTGTCCAGCCCGGTGATCTGGTGCGGCTGGTGCGCGTTGTCCAGCTGAAAAACTGAGTTTAATCCCTAGGACTCACAGAGTGGAGAAAGACACAAATCCTGTAAACTGGCATCTGACCTGCATTCACACACCCACAGACCAAACCCCACATGCAAAGTAAATACAAGCGCACTATTTCGCCGGCTGGTGGCGGCGCACACCTTTAACTCCAGCAGGAAAGGAAAGCTAGTTATGCTAGTGTGGAGGGAAGCTGTGGAGGACATCCATTCCAGCACTTGAACTCAGGAGACAGGCATTACCCAGAGTTCTGCGCTAACTTAACCCAAAGGAGCCAACCAACCATTAAACAAAGAAAACAGGCTAGAGAGACAGCTCAACAGTTATTGGCACCAGCTGCCTCTCAGAGGACCCCGGTTGAGTGCCAAACACCACAGGGCACAAGTGCCTGTAACTGCAGCTCTGGGGATGTGAGGCCCTCTTCAGGCCTCGGAAAGCAACACACACACACACACACACACACACACACACACACACACACACACACGGTGCACAGTGAATTATAGACATACACTCAAACACAAAAAGGAAAGAGAAAAACTGCTGAGATGGAACAGATCTTAGGGCCAAGTCAGCTTTGTTAGCTGAGACTGTGAGACTGTCTTGGATACCCAGCAGCTGCCTGCTCAAATGGCCCCATGCTTGTCAGTCTCATGCAGTCCAGGCTGGCCCCAACCTAGTTATGTAGCCAAGGATAACCTAAACTTCTTGCTTCCTGTCTCTGCCTCCCCGTGCTGGGGTAACAGGCACGCCTCGCAGGTTTGCACGGTGCTGGGGGCGGAATCTCCGGCTTTCTGCATGCCAGGCAAGCCCTCTACTCACTCAGCTACAGCCCTGACCCCTGTTCATTTGGTTTTGAGACAGTGTCACTGCTCAACCCAGGCTAGTCACCCTTTGGTGGTCTTCTCGTCTCAGCCTCCTCATCGCCGGGATCACAGGCATAACGGTGGCACCAGCCCAGGCTTCTTTCCCAATTTACAAAGCAGGTTCCAAGTCATGGGTGTCACAACTGCACAGCCAGAGACTGTGCCTTGAAGACAGCTGTATTTAGCGAATGCATGCCCAGATGTGTCCAGATCATGGCTGATTTCAAGGGGTTGGGGCAGAGAGAATGGTTCCTGTGGAGTGTACAGGCCAGGCAGGAAGTAGGGGATTTTTTTGGGGGGGGGGTTTGAGACAGGGTTTTTCTGTAGCTTTGGAGCCTGTCCTGAAACTAGCTCTTGTAGACCAGGCCAGCCTCGAACTCACAGAGATCTGCCTGCCTCTGCCTCCCGAGGGCTGGGATTAAAGTCCGACGCCTCTATTGCTAGCTCCTTCCCCCTCCCCGCAAGACAGGGTTTCACTGTTTATTTAGCTCTGGCTGTCCTGGAACTCACTTTGTAGACCAGGCTGGCCTTGAACTCACAGAGATCTGCCTGACTCTGCCTCCCCAATGCTGAGATTACCACGGCCCAGCTCAAGATTGATAGATTGATTGATTGATTTAATGTATATGAACGTTCTATCTGCACGTATGCCTACATCCCAGAAGAGGACAAAGATGTCTACTGTAGATGGTTGTGAACCATCATGTGGTTGCTGGGAATTGAACTCAGGACCTCTGTCTGGAAGCATAGTTGGTGTTCCTAACCACTGAGCCATCTCCCTAGCCTTGAATCTCACTTTTGTAGACCAGGCTGGCCTCAAACTCACTGAGATCTGCCTGCCTCTGCCTCCCGAGTGCTGGAATTAAAGGTGTGCACCACCATTGCCCGGCAAACATCAATCTTTTCTTCAATTCATTTTTTTTTTGTGTGTTCATTGGTGTATGTGCATCTGTGGGAGGGTGTCAGAAGCCCTGGAACTGCCATGTGGGTGTTGAGAATTGAACCTGGGGTCACCCGAGAGCACAGACATACAATTAAACCTATATATCTTTTAATTTGGTCTGTTTTGGTCTGATTGGGATTATTTGTGCCGGTAGAGAGGCTCATCTCTCGATGGGGTCCACGAAATAGTAAAATAAATAGCATGGGTTTTCTGGTGACCCTCTTCCAGTGTGATGACCCTAAGTCTTGGTTTTTCTTCAGAGTCCCTTGACTCATGTGGCCTCCTGTGAGTCAGACACAGCAGCTAAGGTCTCTGGCTTTGTGACATGGATCACATCGCGTCCACACTAATCTCCTGCTTATCGGTCTTGCAAGTGACCATAGACTAGTCCTGTGGGACCTACTCAGGTCTGATAGCTGGTCACAAGACACTCTTTATCCCAGAAAGGTCCTGGCAGTCAGTCCAAGAAGGTCGCAAACAAGCGGATCCTGCAGACATCGGCCAATCCAGGCTCCCTGGCGCCAGTTTCTACCTTGCTGGTGACTGCTCAAGCCAGACAGTCTGCAGTTTAGTCAGGGCTGCTGCGTGAGATCCCCATGAAACATCAGATCCTGGCTCCTTAGTCAACAAGTCAATTAAAAAGTATTGCCTTCTCTTAATGTTAAACCACTTCTCCAGTCCTTACTATTTATTTATTAATTTTATTTCATCTTTGATTGTTTTCAGTGTAGTCCCGGCTGTGCTGGAATCTGCCTGCCTCTGCTTCTGGAGTGATTAAAGGCATCTCACACAGGTCAGCCTAGGTGGAATTATTTGTGGCCCTCCTGATTTGGCTCATGCTGGCATGAACTCCCATGCCTGGCTTACCTTTTTTTTTTTTTTAAATGTCTGAGTGCCCTATCTACATGTATGCCTGCATGCCAGATGAGGGCATTGGATCCCAGTACAAATGGTTGTGAGCCACCATGTGGGTGTTGAAAATTGAACTCTGAACCTCTGGAAGAGCAGCCAGTGCTCTTACACCCTGAGCCATCTCTCCAGCTCCGTTGGTGTCACCTTTAACTCTTTGTTTTATGCATTGCCAGAGACTGCAGCCAGAGCCACACAGCGAGCAAGCAAGTCTCCACCATATATCTGCACCCCCGGAACTTTTGTTCCTTTAGACAGGGTTTCTACCTGTCTCTGCCTTTAGAGTGCTGATTTTTTTTTTTAATCTTTATTTTATGTACATTGGTGTGAAGGTGTCAGATCCTCTGGAACTGGATTTTCAGACAGTTGTGAGCTGCCATGTGGGTGCTGGGGAATTGAACCCAGGTCCTCTGGAAGAGCAGTCAGTGCTCTTAACTGCTGAGCCATTTCTCCAGCCCCGATTTTTTTTTTTTAAGATTTATTTATTTAGGGCTGGAGAGATGGCTCAGAGGTTAAGAGCATTGCTTGCTCTTCTAAAGGTCCTGAGTTCAATTCCCAGCAACCACATGGTGGCTCACAACTATCTGTAATGATGTCTGGTGCCCTCTTCTGGCCTCCGGCATTCACACAGACAGAATATTGTGTACATAATAAATAAATAAATCTTTCTTTAAAAATATTTATTTATTTATTTATTATGTATAATATTTATTTATTATGTATAATAAATAAATAAATCTTTTTTAAAAAATATTTATTTATTTATTATGTATACAGTGTTCTGCCTGCGTGTACACCTGCAAGCCACCACGTGGCTTCCCCACCCCACAGTTTGTCCCCTGAGCGGCAAGCTGACTATTACGTGCACTAGCCAGGTTGTGGGATGGAATCAGGGGTCTCCTGGATGCTAGGCAAACACCTTACAAACGTGCCACAGGCCGAGCCCAAATTTTTATTCAAGAGTCCACATATTTGCTTCATCCACTGTTCGGATGCTCTTTGAGTGAGTTTCCTTCTGCCTCAAGTCTCCTCTCTGTGGATGTCTCAGTGTCAAGCAGGGTCCATGTTTGAGCCCCCCATCGCGGGTCTCGAACCGGCAACACAGAGCTCTGGCCCCTGCAGGACACAAGGGAAAAGGCCACCAGATACACTAAGATGGCGCGAACAAGCACGCACGCGGCCTTATGGGAATTGCAGTCAAGTCTCCGCCTCGAGCGGGCCCCGCCCACGAACTACGTTCCCGTCGTGCCCCGCGGCGGTAGGCGGGGCGGCCCGGTTGCTAGGACTTGGAGCAGCGTGGCGTTCTCGCGGGCGTTCCTCAGGTGAGCAGCCGCCGTAGGGACTCGACTTCCACTGTTCCGGATACGCCACCGGGCAGCGGGGAGAGCGACACGATCCGGTCGGTGGACGGGAAAACTAGGCTTTGTCGGGGCCGACCACGTAGGCTCCGGGAGTGCTGCGCGCGTCCCGGGAGGTGGTGGGCGTGCTCGTGCTCTCAGTCAACGCGAGTACGCGTGCGTCGAGGGCTTTACCTACCGCTCCCTACGCCGTCGGTTTGCTGCGCACGCGTGTACCCCTCTTCTCATTCCGGAAACTCGTAATTTCCAGTTGCGTCTGTTCCGGGTCATCGCAGTTAGTCCCCTGCCTCAGGGTTGACCATTCACCGTCTAAACAGCAGGTGTGCAGTTTCCCTTTAAGCTATGGTACCCTGTGGGAATTGTTGAGGTATTCCTGGCGATACCAGGTATCGAATCCTGAGTTTGGGTCCTATTAGGTGGGCACCGCTAACCACGTCCCTTCCCTCCGGTAGCTGATTCCATCCTTAGCCCCTCACTGGATGTGGGTAGGTTGTCCACCGCTGAGCTCTGCCTCCAGTCCTTTTTATTTTTTATTTCGGAAGGTTTTGCTTTCTGTCTCCGACTGGCCTGGAACTCAGCATCCTGCTTCCTGAGGGCCTGATGTTTTAGGCTTGTGCGTTCAGACTTGACGCTGTGATGCTGCTTGCTGTCCTCCCCTGTAGCCAAGCCAGTCGACAACTGTCGCCCCTTTCTGTGGGACCCTGGACCCAGGGCCCATTGCTTGCCTGTAGTTCTTAAGTGCGATGTGCTAGGTTCCTCGGAGAGAGGCAGACTTCCTAAGCCACTGTAGGGAGTGTCTGGCGGGCCCCAGGTCCCTGTCGGGGGCTCATGGGGCAGGAGCTCCTTTTGGGATCTGTTTGCGTGCTGACTCCATTTATGCTGGTGTCCACTTCGGTCCCAGAACGCTTCAGTGACATGAAGATGACCGCAAGTCATCAAGGGAAACCTTGTCTCAAAACAGAACAAGAAAGCAAGCATATAGAATGAATCTTGAAGGACCCCCACCCTGTGGCTTTCAAACTCCTCCCCAGAGATCTGTAAAGCCAGGCCACCCGTCCCCAAGGCAGCCCTCTTTCTGTGTGCCTTGTTTGTAGTCACTGCCCCGCAGACAGTAGTGCTTTGTGGCCCCGGCAGTTGGTGGAAGGCCAGATGTCACCATGGCCCCTCATGGGCTCTGCGTGCGTGGGGCCTGTCGGGAAGCCATGGTGCCACTAGGCTCTCAGACATGCCTGGCACCATTCTCCTTTCGTAGCTCTCCTTAGCCCATAGAGCCATGCTCCGTTGACCTGGGCAGCCTGGGGGAGCTCTAAAAGCCAGCAGATGCTCACCAGGCCATCACGGAGGGGTGGCGGTTTGTGGGTAACGCAGACAAGCCCACCGTAGGCAGCCCTGCAAGTCGCCTTGCAGGGGTTCTTTTTCTGTCTCCTGGTTTATTTCTTTGATGCTCAGTATGTAACTCAGGTTTCAGTGTGGCAGCCACGTTCCTGCCACCTTTGAGCCACGCTTGCAGCCCCTCCATGGGGGCGCTCTGATGATTGTGAAGAATGTGGGTGTCTAATCGTTCGTTGCCTGTAGGTGGCGGTTAGTCAGCTGGGCACGGTGGGGCAGAGAGGTAGGTGACAACTCAGCTGACATAAGGGTGGCAAGTGGTTTAGGATAGCAGGGTCTGTGTGGAGCCCGCTGTAGGGCTGCCATCAGGTGTAGCAGCTGCCGTCCTGTTCTGGCTGACTGACTCCATGGCAGTGCGAAGCAGTGTCTGCGGCTAAGGGGATCCTCTGCAGCCTAGCCCTCACTGGTGCCTCTCACAGCCTGGTATTTGTTTTCTTTTCTTTTTTCAATTTTTCTGACAGGGTTTCTCTGCATAACCTCCCTGGCTGTCCTGGAACTTGCTTTGTAGACCAGGCTAGTCTTGAACTCAGAGAGATCTGCCTGCCTCTGCCTCCAGAGTGCTGGGATTACAGGCGTGCGCCACCACTGCCCGGCTGAGCCTGGCTTTTCTCTTTTGTATCACAAGGTGGCGATAGTGTTGGCTGTCAGCTCAGGTTTCGTTGGGTGCCATGGATAGGCAAGTTCCCAGGCAGCAGGAGATGGGGTTCCTTAGGCAGACATATCCCAGAGCACAAGCCCACACTGGAACGGGTCATGGCCACATGCCTGCCTTGCTCAGCAGGATCTGTATTCTTGGGATAGTTATATCTTAGGTCTGCTGCCTTTTTCTGGGGTATTGAAGTGGGGTCTTGCCCTGTAACTCTGGCTGGCTGTCCCCCAGCTTACAACCATCCTCCTGCCTCTGCCCCACAAATGCTGGGGTGACATTTGTCACCGGGTATGTCTCTGCTCTGGTCCACTGTGACCCCAGTTACCAGGGCGGACGTGTCCCGTAGGCGCCACCTGGGGTCGGGTGGTTTTGAGTGTGAGGGTTATGCTCTGCTGTGGGCGGCCCTCCACCCCCCCACCCCCTTCACTATACAGAAAACGGGACATATAGTAGCTTGGGATGATACTGCCCGTCAGCCCTGGGGCCATAGCCAGGAACATGTGCTGTGGCCGTGTCCTCTGCCGGTCGAGGTCCCCGTGGGGCTATTCTCACATGGACTGGACAAGGCAGGTCCACACCTCATACTGCAGGCAGAATTCTGTTTTTCCTGACTATAGGCCTGAACTCTTTAAGCCAGCCAAAGTGTGGCTGTAGCCCATCCAGACCTGTGACCTCTGAGGCACAGATCAAATATCAGTTGTCTGTGGGTGGGTGACCATGGGCTTGCTTAGGGGCCAAGGGCTGGGACTTTTTTTGTTAGAGACAAAGTATTATGTAGCCAGGCCGGCCCAAAGTCACCAGTAGCTCCTGATCCCCTGGCTGCACCTCCCAGAATGACAGCAGTGCCACGGGGCCTGTGCATGTGATGGGGTGGGTTCTGGATTTGGTAGTAATGAGTGCCTGTCTCCATGCTGCCCTCAACACTGTGTCCGCCCTCTGCGCGTGCACTGGTCACAGCCCTGAAGAGTCCGTCCAGCACGGTTATTCCTTGTGCAGCCCGGGAGTCAGCTGATTGTACCTAGCGCTCTGGCTCCTTCTTCCCAGACCTGGCAGGATCCATAGCATCCCAGGACAGACCCGAGCCACTGAAGCTGACAGATGACACTCCAGTCGCATCTTTGTCTCCCACAGTCAAAGCCCGCTGAGCATGGATCCCACCGCAGGCCTTGCAGAGCAGCCTGAACCCGAGAAGACTGCAAGTGAGGAGCCAGAGCCGGTGCAATGGCAAGCCCTCCCTGTCCTATCGGAGCAGCAGTCGGGGGCCGTGGAGCTGGTGCTGGCCTATGCTGCCCCCGTCCTGGACAAACGCCAGACATCACGCCTCCTCCGGGAGGTGTCCGCTGTCTACCCGCTTCCAGCCCAGCCCCACCTCAAGCGGGTGCGCCCCAGCCGCAGTGCCGGTGGCGCCCACGCATCGGATCTGCTATTGTGCCTGGCAGGGCCCTCTGCGGGGCCCCGCTCTCTGGCCGAGCTCCTCCCCAGACCAGCCGTGGACCCGCGTGGCCTGGGCACACCTTTCCTGGTGCCTGTGCCCGCCCGGCCGCCCCTCACCCGGAGCCAGTTTGAGGAGGCACGAGCCCACTGGCCTACATCCTTCCACGAGGACAAGCAGGTGACCAGCGCGCTGGCCGGGCAGCTCTTCTCTGCGCAGGCTCGAGCGGCCATGCAGAGCCACATGCAACGGGCTGTGCGTGCTGCCCAGAGAGCAGCTGCGCAGGGCCTGCGGGCGGTGGGCGCTGTGGTGGTGGACCCAGCCTCCGACCGCGTGCTGGCCACAGGCCATGACTGCAGCGGCACAGCCAGCCCCCTGCTGCACGCTGTCATGGTGTGCATTGACCTGGTGGCCCAGGGGCAGGGCCGTGGTACCTGTGACCTCAGACGCTACCCAGCTTGCTCCTTCGCCCCGGCCTCCACCACCCAGGGTGCACGTCCTGGCAGCGTGCGCAAACTGGATGAAGATGAGGACAGCCTGCCCTACGTGTGCACTGGCTATGACCTGTATGTCACCCGCGAGCCCTGCGTCATGTGTGCCATGGCCCTCGTCCACGCCCGCATCCAGCGCGTCTTCTATGGGGCGTCCTCACCGGATGGCGCCTTGGGCACACGCTTCCGTGTCCACGCGCGGCCAGACCTCAACCACCGCTTCCAGGTGTTCTGTGGCATCCTTGAGGACCAGTGCCGCCAGCTGGACCCCGACCCATAGGCCTGGTGACCTTCTGCTTCCAGACCTTTCTCTGCATCCACTGAAGCTCCATGGCCTTGGGCCGGGGGACCCACCCTCTGTCTGTCTAAGGACACTGACCACCTGTGTCAGCGTGTGGGGGACCCTTTCAGCCCCAAGACAGTGGCCTCCTCTCTGCTGACTGTGGCGCCTGGGGCGACCCTGCTTACAAGCCCAGTGGCTGTCTTCCAGTCCCCGTGGCCCTCCAGGCTTGGGGCAGGAAACAGCCATCGTGTGTGAAAATAAAGCACCTCAAACCAAGTTCCTGTTTGCACCGAGGTGCCAGGCTGGGATGGGCATCTTTGTCAGGCTGTATGGCTTTGAAGGGGAAGGTGGCAGCCAGCTCTGGATGCTTCTAGGGGCAGCAGTTCAGGAGGTGCCCTTGCCTGTCTCTGCAGTCTATCTGGACACCTGTTGACCTGGGCTCAGTGTACCACAGGCTGTTCATGGCCCTTCTCTGTATCTCTCTGGTGGAGAGGCTGGGGCTTCAGAAGGGTCCGCCTGAGAGCGGTGGGCTGCTGGCCTCTGAGCAGACGCTGCTGCTTCTGACATGCTGGTGGCCTGGCAGCAGTGCGTCTAAATCCAAGCTGCCTTTAGGAGTCCCGGCCTGGGGGCCCTCTCAGTCTGAGGGGACATGGGGCTTTGCCAGTGGTGGCGGCCTACTGTGCACCTGCTGGCCTCGGGCAGAAAAGACCTGGCCCCGCTGGGCAAACAGTCCATGGAGCGGCCAGGCAGATGTGGATAATGGAGTCCTCCCTTCCAACTTTCCTCCGAGGAAAGCCAGGGCATGTTGCTACTCAGATGACCGGGAGGCAGGGTGGGGCAGGGTCAGGCTGTGAGGTGGCCCATCTTGACACTGTGGGACTATGTCCAGCCAGTGGCACCTGGTTGAGCAGGGCCTGGACTCTGAGACCAGGGTGGACCTGCAACCTTTTTACTTGAAACCTCAGGGGGGGCTTTCCCGGCTACCTCAGGGGCTTTCCCGGCTACCTCAGAGCCATTCAGGTGACTGGGGCTGTGCCAGGGTCCTGTGAACTCTCATGGCTGAATTCCATACCCTCAGCTGCTGTGACCATGTGATGGTCACATGGCAGGAAGCTCTGTTCTGGGTGGTTCCTTTGAATAGGAGTCCCGAGGTGCGTGTCAGGAGCACTTGGTGACATCTGTGGGTCCACAGTCTGCTCAATGTTGGGAGGACACCAAAAACTGGGGACATCGTGGCCCCAAGGTTGCGGGTAGAATCAGCTGGTCGCTTCACCCATCCCCTTCCAGACTGCTCTGTGGGGAGGTGACATGCAGCCCCACACCTGGGCCCAACACCTGCTGGCAGCAGTCAGCAGAGCCTGCCTGGGTGGACTGGGCTCGGGTCTTCCTGGGCTTGGTGGCTGCAGGGGCCCTGATACTAATCTCCTTTCAGGTGGCCCTTTCTGCCTGGGTGCCAGGCCAGCTGGTACAGAAATGGCAGGTGAGACATCCTGTTCCCCAGCTCCCACTGAAACCCTGGATTCCTGAGCTGTGGTTGCAGAGCTGACCTGAGCTCCCCCAGCTTCTGCCCTTGTGACACATTTAGTGCCACAGTGGGGCATAAAGCCACCATCTTCCAGCATGCAGATTGAGTGTTTGAAGTGCGGCAGCTTGGAGGGGTATACAGGGGACCCTGGGACTGTGGAGGGGCCTCTGGCTGCCTGGTCTTTCTTGCCCTCCCTGGCCTGCCCGCCTGGGGTGTGTGCACTGCCTGACCACTCGCTAGTGGTGTGACCCTGGCTGCAGCCTACGAGGGGAGGGCTGACCTGCAAAGGTCCGTGTCCTGTCCAGCCTCAGTGGCTCAGGAAGGGCTAAGGCGCGGGGAGACGCTCCTGCAGGCTCTGGCCCAGCAGGCTCCGTGGGGTCCTTCTGCAGGGAAGGGGAACAACTTCCCGCCGCTGCCGCGCTTTGTGCCGCTGAAGCCCTGCTTCTACCAGGACTTCTCCGAGGAGATCCCCGTGGAGCACCAGGTGCTGGTGAAGAGGATCTACCGGCTGTGGATGTGTGAGCCTCGCGGGGCGGGGCGGGGCGGACGGGGCCCTGGTCCCTTCCTGAGGCTCATCTGTCCTTGCTGATCTGCCCCCCTCTTTTCCACCTGTGTCCTCCAGTTTACTGTGCCACTCTGGGGGTGAACCTGGTGGCCTGCCTGGCCTGGTGGATTGCGGGTGGCACGGGAGCCAACTTCGGCCTGGCCCTGCTCTGGCTGCTTCTCTTCACTCCCTGCAGTTATGTGTGCTGGTTCCGGCCTGCATACAAGGCCTTCCGGTAAGGCTGGTCCAGGGGCCGCAGAACCTCTCTCACTTGCCGAGCTGTGGGACCCGTGGAGGCTGTACTTTCTGATCCATGTCCAGAACAGGCTTCTGCCCAGTTAACTGACATTTGTCCTCTACTCATCCAGTGTGGCCGCTTGGGTCATGGGCAGCAGTCTGACCGTAGGCCACAACCAGCTGCTGGGATGGCGTCCAGGGTGGCACTGGCTGAGCCATGTCCCCTTCCTTGGTGCTTTGAAGTGGAGTCACAGCACAGGAAGGTCTGGTCCCAGCGCCCCTGCCTCAGCCCCTGGCTTGTGCAACTGTGCCTCCTTAACTTGAGGGCACCCACTAAGTCGTCTTTGGAGTCCTTACCCTGTTTTTGAGTTTACAATTGGCTTGTGCACTATAGTTTCCTGACCACAGTGTATGCTGGGGTTGCAGTGTGGTAGTTTAGCATTGCTAGTGCTTGCTTCTAGAAGATTCCATCATGCAAAAGGAAACCATTCCCCACAAGTCCCACTGCGGTGTGTGTCAGAGCCGCACGCCTGCTCCCTGCCCTGCCATGTGTCCATCATCCACTGTCAGTTGTCTCTGCTCAGCTGGCTTCTCCCTTTTGGGACGAGTGTTGTGCCTGACTTACAGACAGGGTAGAGTGGGGCAGGGGACTCCACCAAGCCAGAGCAGAGGCTGCGTCCTCCCACTCCCCGAAGCCCCCTTCCTTTGCCCTCGGGGTATCTAAGCTTTCTCAGCTCTCCCCGTTGCTGGGACTCCCCAGGGACACTGGCACCATACCTAGGCGGTCAGCGCGTGGGCTGAGTGCCTGGTAGAGGGGTCAGTAGGTCCATCAGGGACTAGGGGACGTGGTGCTTCCTTCCCACTGTGATGTCTTTGCCTTGCAGAGCTGACAGCTCCTTTAACTTCATGACGTTCTTCTTCATCTTCGGCGCACAGTTCGTCCTGACCGTCATCCAGGCTGTCGGCTTCTCGGGCTGGGGGGCCTGGTAAGCAGACTGAGGGATGTGCCCTTCCTGCCTCCCGCGTGCCTGTGTGTGAGAGTCTGCCTGCGTGGGTCACAGACTCAGACTGTGGGCCTTACCATGAGCGACCAGCAGAGCTGCCGAGCTGCTTGTGGCCCTGCCAGTGCCACCCTCTTAGGTTTCATACTAAAGTGGACCCCTTCCTGCCATGCTGCCCGAGGCTGCCTTGAACAGACACACTCCATTTCTCCATTTCTTGTTTTGAGGGTCTCACTATGTGGCCTTGACTGGCCTGGACCTGCTAACTCCTGAGTTCTGGGATAAAAGCATGTGCCGCTGTGTCTGGGCCCCGTTTCTCTTCCTTCCCTCCACTCTTCCCTGTACCTCCCTCTTCCAGATCCAGTCACTCCTCTTCCATTTCCCTTCAAAAAAAAGCAGGCCCCCCAGAGACGCCAGCCGAGCGGGGATACCGAGTTACAGTGGGACCGGGCACAGCCTCGTGTCACAGCTGTGTGGGACAAGGCTCCCATGCTCCTGCTGTGGGGAGTCCCTTAGGTCAGTCCCTTCTGGGCTCCATGGTTGTCGCTTCAGTCTCTGGGAGCCCTTAGGAGCCCTGCTCAGTTGACGCAGTGTGGCCTCCGTTTCTCTTGTGCGTCCTCGTCGAAGTCCATGTAAGGTCCTCAGGCACCCTCTTCCCCTCCATGTTTCTCATGAACCCTGCCCCCTACCTCCCCCCCGGCTGCTGGAGTCCATAACCTTGGAATGGGCTGTCACCCACGCCATCCATAGCCATGCCACCGGTGCATGGCCCAGACTGGCAGGCGGCGTATTCAGGATGGACGGCTGCTGAGGAGGCTGTTTGTGTGTCCCACCAAGCCCCACTTACTTAGTCTCTTGAGGTTTAGTTCATTTAGTGGTAGCATGGAGAATGACCTGGAGGAGCCAGCAAGGCCTTGCCTTAATACTTTTTCTGAGATGTGTTTGGTTGGTGTGTTTTGTGAACTGCCATTGTTTTGTATTTATCAGTCATCTTTTGGTCCCTGACTGAGCTCGGCTCCTGTACTTTTACCTTTTTTTGATCCGTTGGAGCTCTGTACATAAGAAGGAGATCAGGCCTATTTACCTATTCCTTGTTGATTTGTCAGAGCTCTTTGCATGTGAAGGACAACAGGCAGGCCCTGATGTGAGTATGCTGGGCCCTCTTACCCCTCATCTCCCTTTGTACCCTGCAGTGGCTGGCTGGCGACTGTTGGATTCTTTACGGTCAATGTTGGGGCCGCCGTGGTCATGCTGATCCCCGCCATCTTGTTTTCCCTGTCTGCTGTCATGATGGCCATCACCCTTGTGAAGGTGAGTCGGCACAAGAAGGTGTCTCCATCCTAAAAGCTGCTCTTTTATCGCATTGGTTGCCCAGAACACCCGTGTCTGCGGGTGTGGCTGGGATGAGTTTTGTCACCTGGGAACTCACAGGCTTGGGAGGACACATGGCCCTCTGCTAGGTGTGCAGATCGTGGAGGAGGGTTCAGGACCGGGCGTCACAGGTGGGAAGAGCGGGAGACTTGGCTGGGTTCCCCAGACACCACTGTTCCCTGCGGCAGCACTGCCTGGCTGGCCACATCCTCGAGGCAGAGCACAGGTCTAACGTAGCCAGCTGTGTAGGGGGCAGAAACCTTTTAAAAGGCCTTTTTTTGGCGCCAGGCAGTGGTGGCGCACACCTTTAATTCCAGCACTCAGGAGGCAGAGGCAGGCAGATTTCTGTGAATTCAAGGCCAGCCTGGTCTACAAGAGCTAGTTATATAGAAAAATCCTGTCCCTGGAGGGGAAAAGCCTTTTTGGGGGGTTTCTTTTCTAGAGGATAAACCCAGGCCTTGTGAGCAGCCCATGTGCCTAGAGCTGCGTCTTATCTGCAGCAACCCTGACGTTCCCAGGACAGTGCTGACAGACAACCCAGGAAGCCCGTATGTCATCCTTACAAGTGTCTACCCAGCCGTCGGGGTCCCACTCCCCAAGTGCATGTGGCTGCCCCCTCCTCCCAGTCCCTAACTAGCCGTGGAGGAGCGGGTGTGCTGTGAGGAATTCTAAAGACACAGCCCCCAAAGCTGAGGGCAAGCCCTGCACATGGAGGAGAAGCTGCACATGGCCAGTCTGGCCTTACGGCCTCTGCAGGTTTTTGTTTGAGTATTTTTTGTTTTGTTTTAATTTTTGGAGACAGTATCATGTAGCCCAGGCTAGCCTCAGACTCAACTGTGTAGGCTGAGACTAACCTTGAACTCCTGATCCTCCTGCCTCAGCCTCCAGAGTGCTGGGGTGACAGCTGGTTTCTGTGGTGCTGAGGGAGGGATGGAACTCAGGATGAGTCCGCCTTACGCCTTACACACTGAGCTGCATCCCCGCCCTTAGCCCTGGCCTTGCGCTGATAAAGATATACCTGCCTCTGGCTCCCATGGGAGGATTAAAGCCACCATGCCTGGCTTTTTGTTTGTTTATTCATTCTTACTTTTTATTTATTTAGTTTTTTCAGGACAGAGATTCTCTCTGTAACTCTGACTGTCCTGGAACTCGCTCTGTAGACCAGGCTGGCCTCGCGCTCAGAGCCCACCTCTGCCTCCTGAGTGCTGGGATTGAAGGTGTGCCAGCACACTGTGCTTTTTGTTTTTTAGACAACGTCTCATGTAGCCCAGGCTAGCTTTAAATTCCTGACCTCCTACCTCAGCCTGAGTGATGAGGGTCTACACCACCCTGCCCTGCATTATCACCCCCTTCTTCCTCAGGCTCTCTAAGAAAGATGGTCAGAGGTCACATACATTAGTGACAGTGAGATGTCACAGTAGGGTGACGCATACCGCCCTGGAGAAGCTGTTTGTTGAACTGGTATGTCCTTTGGGGCTGTGGGGCTAGCAGAGTGGAGATGAAGTACCCAGAGCACAGCGAGGGCGCAGGGCCCTGTGATGTCACCTGAGGGTTCACAGTGGGTCTCTGTCCCTGCCCGTGCCCTGACCCGCTCTCTGCTCTCGTCCTGACCCTTCAGGTGCACAGGATCTACCGTGGGGCTGGTGGGAGCCTGCAGAAGGCACAGACAGAGTGGAGCGCTGGCACCTGGAGGAATCCCCCGTCAAGGGAGGCCCAGTTTAACAACTTCTCTGGGAATAGCCTGCCTGAGTACCCCACTGTCCCCAGCTACCCCAGTGCAGGCCAGTGGCCTTAGGCAGCTGACTGGCCCCAATATCGTGGATCTGTCTCCTGCCTTCACCCTTGGTCCTGAAGCCCGAGCATCTCCCCAGGGTCACACGAGGTCCTTGGCCTGTGTTCATCTTTGTTCGAGCCTCAGCAAGCTCTGCCCAACAGCTGTTGTCCACTGCCAGCCCCCCAGAACCAAGCTGTGTTACTGCCCTGCTCCTGTCCACGGAGCAGCCTTGAGGGCCCTGCTCCTGCCCGTTGTGTCCTAAGAGTCACTGAGACACAGCTGAGCCCCATAGCACTGAGGGTGGCGGCAGGAGCATGGCTGTTGTGAGCATCCTTAGCACTGCCATCGGGTCTACTCCTGTCTCCTCTGGGGACAGGGTCCTCCAACTTCCGTGGCCATCCCTAGTGGCAGTGGCAGCCTGCTGTCCCCACAACCATCCATGCAGGCAATGATCCACTGGATTGGGGCTGCTTTGGCTCCAGGAAGCTCCTCCTTTCTCTGTGGGAGGAGAGAGACAGGCTCAGCTACACAGTAGGCCACACCCCTGCCAGAGGTTAGCCAGGACCTTGGTCTGCTGGGAGCAGAGCCAGGGACAGAACTGTGCCTTAGAGAGAACCCTGCTTTCCCTCACCCTTCTGCCTTCCCAGGGTAGCTGTGGCCTGGCCAGGGAAGCCACCTGAGTTGTGGAAGGTCCATGGCACCCCGATGACATCGGACTCAATATTTTCCCTTAGGGCCTGCTAGTGCCACCAGCCAAGCCACTGCAGTCCCCAGGCCTCCCCACAGAGCTGTGCCCTTCCTGCCGGTGTCCTGCCAAACTCCCTGGGCACCTTGATGCCCAGAGGGGGCCAGAATAGAGTTGCAGGCAGGCACTTGGGGGTCAGCCTCACATACTGAGGTGCAAAAGGGGCATGGGGATGGAGCCCCAGTACCCCCTCTCAAGACACCTAAGCTCTGTCCTGCCCATCCTGGGGTATGTGTACCCACATGCCAAGTTGTTTTTGTTATGTAAGAATATTCTGGAAATAAATTCTCTTTCTGCAGCAGGGCCTGTTATTTGTGTGCACATGTATACATACGTGTGTGTGTGTGTGTCTGTGTGTGTGTGTGTAGCCTAGAGGTTGGCGTCAGCCAGCCGCCTTCTATTGCTGTCCACCTGTGTTTTGAGACAATCTCCCATTGAAACAGAAGCTTAACAGATTTGCTAGGCTGGCTGGCCAGTGAGCTCCAGGGCTCCTCCTGCCTCTGTCTGCCCAGGGCCGAGGTGACAGTCAAGCACCACCATAGACTGCTGTTTTGATCACCCATAGACCTGGGTTTTGATCAGAGGCAGGTGGATGTCTTGAGTTCCATGCTGGCTAAGCCTACATAGCAAAATACATATGCCCCAAAATAAGAGGGTTATCCTGGGATACGTGGGACTTGGTCTCAAAAGGCTTTAGGGAAGGTGGCATCATGGAGGACGTGCTCCAGAGTGGACCAGCATGGTCTGCTTTGTGTCTCCAGTTCTCCCTGAACTAAGGCCCTTCTCCCAGAGCCTTGGCAATGCCCAGGAAAACTACATCTTGCTGGGTGGTGGTGGCACATGCCTTTAATCCCAGCACTCCAGAGTCAGAGGCAGGCAGATCTCTGGATCTCAGAGTTCAAGACCAGCCTGGTCTACACAATGAGTTCCAGGACAGCCAGGGGCTACACAGAGAAACCCTGTCTCAAAAAGCAATAAACAAGGGCTGGAGAGATGGCTCAGTGGTTAAGAAGAGCATTGCCTGTTCTTCCAAAGGTCCTGAGTTCAATTCCCAGCAACCACATGGTGGCTCACAACCATCTGTAATGAGGTCTGGTGCCCTCTTCTGGCCTTCAGGCATACACGCAGACAGAATTATGTATACATAACAACAAAAAAGCAATAAACTAAAAGATCCAAAAACAAATACCTGCCAAGGGAAGGAGAGATGGGCAGATGTCTCTAGAGGCCAAGGACACTGAGGTCACTGACTGCCACATGCCACTGGGCAGGGCTGGACTCCCTACAAAATCAGTGGGGCCAGCCCTCCTTGTTTGTTGACCTCAGAGTATCGTCCCACAGAATGGAGACGAGCTTGTGTCCCAGCCCTGGTGTGTGGGGCTTTCCCTGTAAGCCTGTGTCTACACACAACTCACTACCACACACAGGATGGCAGTTCTTCCAGGAGTGGCGACAGTGACCCGGCATCTCTTCTACAGTTATGGTGCCATTCTACCTTCAGTCACCAGGGGGCACTCTTGGTTTCCTGTGCCCATTGTCCTCTATGTCTCTCCAATGCTGTCCTCACAGAAGACAATGGCCATGGCCCCTCTCTGCTCCACCCACACTGGTCTCCCACACTGAGTCCTGTCTCCAAAGTCCACAGTACGATATCACATGCTGTAACCCATTCTCTGCTTTTGTTCTTTTAATCTTTTCTAGGTTTGCTGTTTGTTATTTGGTTTTTCGAGACAGGGTTTCTCTGTGTAGCCCTGGCTGTCCTGAAACTCACTCTGTAGACCAGGTTGATATCTAACTCACAGAGATGCTCCTGCCTCTGCCTCCCAAGTGCTGGGATTAAAGGTGTGCGCCACCTCCGACTGACTTACTGGTTTGTATTTTTAATATGGTCTCCTGTACCACAAGCTGGCCTCCAGCATGCTGCATGGCCAAGGCTGGCCACAGCCCCCACTCCTCTTGGGGAGGAGCACCTTGGAGGCAGGTGCTGGGAGCACAGGTCTTTGCCACCACTGCTGGGGGGGGGGTGCTGGGGATGTAGAACAGCACACACTCCTCTCTGAACCCAGAAAGGGGTTCCACCGCTGACTGATAACTTGGAACCTTCTCCCCTGAGTTCTTGTTTAGGATTGTACCTCTCATCTTCAGAAAGTTCTGGAATGCTTTAAAATGGGGAAGTAGAGGATAATTATAGAATCACTGTTGTCAGAATCTGGAGGCAGGAGGGCTGCCCTGTCAGAGTTCACCTACTTGGTAGGTAGATAAAACTGTACTACCTCTTCCCTCCCATGGAGACATCACCAATCGATTGACAAATGAATGATTTCTTCCATGTTTTGTACAGAACAGGCATTAAGCAATCAGCATTAAGCAATCAATCAGCCAGCCAATGGTGAGGTCCATTCTGTGCACAAGTCGGGCGTCAGTAAGTCTTCCCTTCTCAGCACACAGCGGGCACCACGAGTCAACATGTCAGCAATGGCCTCCCTCCGTCTGTTACATAGAGAAGTGACATCAAGAGGAAAAACATAGCATCTTATTTCCAGCTCAGACTTCCTGAAAGACACCTCTAAGCCCCTCCTGGGACAAGGTGAACTCAGGCAGGACAGCCCCTCCTGCTCCCACAGCACACTGTCCCAGGATTAGCTTGGACTGTAGCCCCTGGGGCAATCAAGAAAACATCAGCCTGTGCCTTCCAAGGCCAGTTCCTGCTTGGCGGTCCTGTCCCCTCAGGGGAAAACTACCAGGCCTGGCTGGTAAGAGTGAGCACCTGCCACTCAGTGTGAGGAAGCCATTTGTAACCGAGTCCCTGTGATTACCAGTGCAGGGTATGGGCAGCTGTCACCTGTTCAAGATCCTCTGCCTGCTGCCAGGAACAAGCTGAGCTCCCTTGGCCCAAAGGGGGACTCTTCCTGCCTCCTCCAGCTGCTGAGGAGTCCTGGCACCTCCCAAGCAGGTGATTTAGCCACCTGCTCTGCTGGGACTTTCTCGGTGTGGACATTACAATCCCAAACTCGGGCTGGCTCAGTGGGTATTGTTCTCTAGATCCCAATACTCAGTAGATCAGGAGTTGGAGTTTAGATCACCCTTTGCTACATATTGGGTTTGAGACTAGCTTGGACTACATGTGACCCAGTCTTGAAAAAAAATTATTAGCCATGAGATGGTAGCGCACACCTTTAATCCCAGCACTTAGGAGGCAGAGGCAGGCAGATCTCTGTGAGTTCGAGGCCAGCCTGGTCTACAAGAGCTAGTTCCGGGACAGGCTCCAAAGCCACAGAGAAACCCTGTCTCGAAAAACAAAAAACAAAAAACAAAACAAAAAAAATCCCAGAAGGATATAATATCACCTAGGTTAACAGGAAGTGCATAGTAAGCAACTTCCCAAACTCTAGAATTGACAGAGACATCTTGCTGCCTGGACAGTCACCCAAAGTTCTTCTGTACCATTGGAACATCCATCTACAGCCTACAGCATGCAACAAACATTTTCACGAAGCAGGAAATTTCAAAGACAGTTCTGCCCATATTGGCAGTTTGTCAGTCACTATTTTCTGTGTCCTGCAGAATGTCTGGCAGACTCTTTCATGAAGCAGGAATCCCGAAAGACCATCTCACCTTTAGGCAAGTTCAGCAGTCATTTCTCTGTGGGTCCTGCATGTCCAGTTCACACAGCATAGCATCAAGCAGTCCAGGCAAGGGCAGTTTCTAACCCAGATGGCTAACCAACTCCATGAGGAGCCTCTTCGGTGCCCATCATCCTCTTGATGTAAATGGTGCTCCCAGGAGCAGATGTCACAAAAAGTCTTAAGCTCTTAAAACATTTTTCTTTTTTTTAATTGATATTTATTGAGCTCTACATTTTTCTCTGCTCCCCTCCCTGCCTCTCCCCTCCTCACTTCAACTCTTCCCCCAAGGTCCCCATGCTCCCAATTTACTCAGGAGATCTTGTCTTTTTCTACTTTCTACCTCCCATGTAGATTAGATCTATGTAAGTCTCTCTTAGTGTCCATATTGTTGTCTAAGTTCTCTGGGATTGTGATTTGTAGGATGGCTTTCTTTGCTTTATGTTTAAAAACCACCTATGAGTGAGTACATGTGATAACTGTCTTTCTGTGTCTGAGTTACCTCACTCAAAATAATGTTTTCTAGTTCCATCCATTTTCTGCAAAATTCAAGATGTCGTTATTTTTTTCTGATGTGTGGTACTCTATTGTTTAAATGTACCACATTTTTTTTTGTTTGTTTTTTGTTTTTTGTTTTTCGAGACAGGGTTTCTCTGTACCTTTAGAGGCTGTCCTGGAACTAGCTCTTGTAGACCAGACTGGTCTCGAACTCACAGAGATCCACCTACCTCTGTCTCCCGAGTGTTGGGATTAAAGGCATGTGCTGCCACCACCACCTGGCCCACATTTTTCTTATCCATTCTTCGGTCAAGGGGCATTTAGGTTGTTTCTAGGTTCTGGCTATGACAAACAAAGCTGCTACGAACATAGTTGAGCACATGTCCTTGTGGCACGATTGAGCATCCTTTGGATATATACCCAAAAGTGGTATTGCTGGGTCTTGAGGAAGGTTGTTTCCTATTTTTCTGAGAAATCGCCACACTGACATCCAAAGGGGCTGTACCAACTTGCATTCCCACCAGCAATGCAGACGTGTTCCCTTTTCCCCACAACCTCTCCAGCATAAGTTGTCATCAGTGTTTTTGATCTTGGCCATTCTTACAGGTGTCAGATGGAATCTCAGAGTTGTTTTGATTTGCACTTCTCTGATGACTAAGGATGTTGAACATTTCCTTAAGTGTCTTTTTGCCATTCTAGATTCCTCTGTTGAGAGTTCTCTGTTTAGGTCTGTACTCCCTTTTTTATTGGATTATGTGATCTTTTGGTGTCCAATTTCTTGAGTTCTTTGTATATTTTGGAGATGAGACCTCTGCCTGATGTGGGGTTAGTGAAGATCTTTTCCCATTCTGTAGGCTGCCATTTTGTCTTGTTGACTGTGTTCTTTGCTTTACAGAGCTTTTCAGTTTCAGGAGGTCCCATTTCTTAATTGTTAAAACATTTTAAATACCATATTCTGAAGTTCTCTGAAAGATGTGAAGAACACCTATCTAACTGAGTCTATCTCTGTGGAGCTAGAAAGCCTAACTAACATGACTGCAAGCTTGACTATTATATACATTACTTTTTTGTGTTTGTTTTTGGTTTTTTGAGACAGGGTTTCTCTGTAGTTTTGGTGCCTATCCTGGAACTTGCTCTTATAGACCACGCTGGCCTTGAACTCGCAGAAATCTGCCTGCTTCTACCTCACAAGTGCTGGGATTAAAGGTATGCACCACCACCATCCAGCTTACATTACATTTTTTTTTGAGAACAGAGTGTTTATTTATTTTTAAATTGATATTTATTGAGCTCTACATTTTTCTCTGCTCCCCTCCCTGCCTCTCCTCTCAGAGAGGGTTTTTCTGTGTATCCTTGGCTGTCCTGGAACTCACTTTGTACGTCAGGCCAACCTCAAACTCACAGACATCTGCCTGCCTCTGCCTTCTGAGTGCTGGGACTAAAGGCATGTGCCACCACCTTTTTTAAAATGTACATTACATTTTTAAATGAGCTGCACAAACACAATACCTTAATCAAGAGCAGAAATATACATATAACAAAATTGACCTTAAATTTGTATCAATAAACCAAGATCCATACCAATGTAAATCTCTATCGCATATGCCCCTTTAAATGTAAACAAGCATTTATAGACAATATTTGAGAATATGGGCATAGTTCTCTCCAAACTGCTTCCTGCTTTTTGTTGGGCAAAGTATTTTTGGGGGTGTTCATGGCAACCTTTTGGGGGATTTTGATGCATCAAACCACAGTAGTCTGTAATTAATTCATGGGTCCTCATCTTCTGTGGAAACAAAAGCAGAACCTCTTTTCCAAAGCCTAAATTCTTAGACTAAAATTTTGAAGTCAGAATACCTTTCTGTTGGTTTAATTTAGCAATCCCCACAATGAAATGTCTGTTACTATGTAGCTGTTCCATAGTCAGACAATTCACCCAGTGGTGGTGGCGCAGCCTTCAATCCCAGTACTCGGGAGGCAGAGACGCCTTCAATCCCAGCACAGGG